CTAAACTCCATCATGGGTGATCTGGAGTGTCGGCAACCGGGAATTGAGACATGTTCCGTCACTCGGAGTACGAAATGTCCCCCGTTTCCCGTGCTTGGGCTAACTCCTATCCCAAGCACAATGCAATATGCATGATATGCATGAATGCAACCCTAACATGCAACCTAGCATACACAATGCTATGAAATGGCATACACAATGCACGATGTAACGAGGCATACACAATGCTCTAACATACAACCTAGCATACGCAATGCTATGAAATGAAATGGCATACGCAATGCATAATGGACTTACACTAACATGAGCGGACCTCAGCCACACTCACATCAGTAGCCATTAGGTGAAAATGAGACTATCGAAATGCGTGCACATATGCACGCAAATCGAGGACCGATCCTAGGCATAACATGCAACTCTAACAAGGCATGGGAAGGCATGGAATATGGCATACAAGCATGTAGATTCCAGCACTGAAATATGATGCAAAATGGTCCCGAATTATGGAAATATGGCACCCGATGCATGAGATGAACCCCGAAACTCGAAACTAGGCACATGGAATGACTTGTAACTATACAAACCATGCATTATTTGATCATGAAGCATGAAGAAAGAGCCAAGACAGTCCTAAAACATGGACATTTTCAGTTCAAATCATGGCCAAAAGATGCTAGCAAGATGGACTAAAATAGCATGCAATTTTGACTAGCAAACATGGTTTACATGGAAAGTATATGATGCACTTGGAATCTCACCAAACCAGCAAAAATTAGTGAATAAAACATGTGAAAATAGGTCCAAATAACCACTGATATGCAACCATGGCATGCAAAAATGATGAGTTACTTTAGAGGGCCATGCAAGGAGTCATTAAGCACATGCAAGATAGGCATTTGGCATGGCATAAACAAATATGAAAATCAAATATGGTAGTCCCAAAACTCACCAAATTGACCCTAGAAAGTGACTCTAAAGCATGCAAGATAGGGTCTCTTTGGAAGGCTAAAATGACCACCAAACAAGTCAAGGTGAGAGGGGGTGTCACCTCCCTCTGATTTGGAAACTCAAAACAGTGCCTTAGCCACTGAAAATCCACTGGATTTCAGTGGCTAGAAGGCCAAACAAAGCATGCAACAAAGGCTTAGGTGTAAGGCTTAAAATAGGAGACAATCAAGCATACAAGGAAGCATGTGACCTCAAACAAAAATTGAACCTTAAACAAACCTAAATATGAGATTAAAAAAAGATATTTTTCAGTTTATGGCAACTCTCAAAAACAAACACAAGTAGGGCTAATCTATCATGCAAAAATGGCCCTAAAAGAGAGAATAGAGACAAGGGACAGTAGCTAGCCTCAAACAGTGAAGAGCCCTTCAATAAAGTTTAAGAGAAGCTCAAAACAAGGCACTTTACAGTTTATGTCAAGCTTTGAAAATAATCATAAGTAGGCCTAAAATATCATGCAAGAAAAAGGCCTAAAAGAGGGATAAAGAGACAAGTGATAGCTGCTGGCATCAAACAGAGGAGAGCCCTTCAACAAAGTTGAACAGGGGCTCAAAAAAAGACATTTCACAGTTTATGACCAAGTCCGAAACAGCTTACAAATAAGCCTAAAATATCATGCAAAAAAAAGGCCTAAAAGAGAGTTTAAACACAAAGGGTGAGGAGGAGACCTCAAACAGAGAAAGACCGTTAATCAAACATGGAGATGAGCACAAAATATGACTATTTACAGTTCAGGTCGGAGCCCAAAAATACTTGAAATCAAGGCTTATAAATGAAGCAAGAAAAGACTAGTTTAGGGGAAAAGTGTGCTTACCCTTGAAGAGCAATGAACCAGCAGCCTTTGGACCAAGAAGAGGAGCTCCTAGCCTCTAGAAATCAGCTTCAAAAGGCTGGAATGGAGTGTGGATGTGTGGAGCTATGGGTTGGTGTGTAAATGGTGCAAGGCTTTTAGGGTTTTGAGGCTTGGAAGAGAGGGAGAGGGAGAGGGAGAGATGTAAGCAAGGCTCTAAACAAGAATTTGTAACCCTAAAAAATGGATCTGTGGGGTCTGGTTTTATAGAGGGAGGAGTGGAGGAAAAGGGGGGGAAAAACCAATTCAAATTTCCCACCCAAAAGGCACCCCCCAGATACAAAATCTGGGGGGAAACAGAGGGTACATCTGGAAGGCATTTGGAGAGGGGATTCTGGCCGACCAGGTTCAAAAGGTTCAGGTGGCCGGCCGGCCAGGGGTCAAAAGGGTCAATGAAAATTGCTGGCCGGCCACCCCAAAAAGGTGGCCTCCCATGTGTGCACAACACAAATATGTGGTCAAAACCCAGAAAATGTGAACCAAGAGAGAGAAAAGTCAACTTTTTGGAGGGGTTCAAAAGGGTCAAGGACAATTACTGGCCGGCCTATACATATTGGTGGCCTCCCAGGTGTGTACAACACAAATATGGGGTTTAGGGCTAAAGTGGCCCCGAGGTGGTCAACATTAGCTTTTTAGTAAGGAAAACGGGCGACAGAGAGCGATGAAGAAATAAAACTGGCTTTTTCAAGAACAATTGCTGGCCCCCAGCCCTCTACAGCTTTCTAACAATGACAATAAGTCTCCACCAAATGAACCAAAAACGGAGGCAAAATGGAGGTTCGGGGCACCGAAACGCGGACCTGGGGCCCCGAAAATGGGCCTTCTTACAGCACCAGAGGTGGGTTAACCACGAAGCTTGGTCTCTCGCAGCCATAGTGGTTCCTCAAAAGGGAGGAAAGTAAGGTGTATGCCAAAATCGGAGCCAATGGAGTTGGTTAGGCGGTCCCGAACCGAGGCACACGGCGTCGCCTACGAAAAAACGAAACCGGCTCCAAATGAAAAACAGGCTACGACCAGCGCCAAACGTAGCCTATGGCCACTGAGAGATGATCTACGAGACCTCTCCCTCCCTTTGGGAAGAGAAAACAGAGAAAACAGAGCCTGGTTCGCAAACCGAGGCAACGCATGAAAGAGTCCGGAAGTCCGGAGGCAAGGCTTGCAGCCGGGACTCTGAAACTTCTAAACGAGCATAATATGCAATATCACCGAGCGCTCAATCAGTGACGTCTGAGTTTTAAGGTCGGTTAAAAATGGGGTGTCTACAGTTGTCCCTCTTTGACAGAACTCGGAAGTCATAAGTGACGGGAGTGAATGTCAAAGCCCAGAGACGACCCATTTTTGACAAGGCCGAAGACTTAGACAAACAGGCAAGATAAACAGAGATGCGCCCGCAGGCGTGCCCGCAGGCAGAGGCAAAATGCAACCGATAATGCAAGAAGCCGAAGGTACCTCAATGATCATGCAAATGCAGCAAGCTGTAATGAAGCACATATTTACAATAGATGCAACAGTTTTAAGCAAGAATGCAAAGCAACAACTACATTTCATACAGTTAAGAATGTGGAGAATTATTCAATTCTCGCCACGTCTCACATGGAGAAGATACAATATCTGCGCGGTTCGTCTGGTCGTACCAACCTCAAATGAACCATACATACAATATCGTGCCCTGAAAAGAGAGAGACTCAACAAGCACAACATTGTTAACAACATGTTTTCAAAACGATATTGAATGCAGACAATCGCGGCGTTTATAGAACAGTGCATCGCAACGTGAGGAGTAACGCGCGTGACAACGCGGGTTAAGCATGAGGGTATGACAACACCCGTGAAATGTGCACAATAGTATGGGTGGTGTGCATGAGAATGCAAGTGATGTGCATATCAATGCAGAACAAGTGTGAACTCGAATGCGAATTTGTTGTAAAATGACGAGCAAAGAAATGCAAGTTTTTGATGAGGGCGACTCAATCGCAACCTCCGGTTTACCTCCCGGAGGGGTCGCAACATGTTCAAAAAGGATACATCTCACTTTTGACGAGTAACAATGGGAAACGCATCGAAAGTTGAAGTTGAAGTTCCGGTAGAGCGGTTTTGCGACGGAAAGTGCACTTCTCTTGTACTTTTTCAGGTCTCGGGGACTCCAATCCTCCCCAAAATTTGCAGAGAGCTTGGTGGGCACCTGGGGAACACCACCGGCCAGCTTTATTTCCAAGGGGAGGCCGTCAGCTAGGTTTTCGAAAAGGGGATGGCCGGCTTGCCAGACAAGGTGGCCGGCCGGCCACTTTGCCAAAACCGTGGGCATTTTGGTACTTTCACTCTCTTTTCTTTAAATCCATTTGGCCAAAGCATTTTTCCTCATAACTCCAGCTCCGAAAACACCTTCTCTACCTTCCTAGACCATTTTCCTCTTCAGATCTGAGCTCTATACGCGTTTTCCAATGCCCCACGCAAGTTGTTTTCGCGAAATCTTTCAGTTTTCGTCACTTTGGAACGATTAAATTTTGATTTCGGTGCTTCTTTTCTCATTTTCACCACTTGAGGTAAGTTTGTCTCAACATTTGGAAGATTTCCTCGGGGGTTGAATTTTGTTGACTTTTTCATTTCCCGAGAGTTGACTTTTGTTGACTTTTTCCAATTTTTGCTCATTTTGCTCATTTTTGCTCCTTTTTGCAGATTTTTTGAAATGGCTGGCCATTTCCCTCATGGTGGAGGTCCTCCGGGCGCCGGGGATGATCCCGATATCATGGCTCTGCCTCCGAGGGTGCGACCCTTCATACCCAAGAGGTACGACCCTCCGACACACTTGCTTCCCTAGGCAGTTTTCTACCATTTTACCGATTTCGATGATCGAGCACACAGGGATCTTTTATTGCGGGAGCCGGAGTCCCACCTCTGCCATCAGGCACGAGAGGTATTTACTTTGCCTTTTTTACATTTCTGCAATGTATTCTGCATTTTTGTACGTTTCATGCCTCTTACTATGCATATCTGCTCTTTTTAGCACGTAGCTTGTTCTGACGCTTAGCCCATGATACAGTATTCTAGGTCTCGTCGACCGTTCATGTTCACCATCCCTGAAAACCTTTCTCGGATTCTCATCCTTATTTTGTTCTAGAGTAAGATTTTTTTTAATTTTTTTTTTCTTTTGCTTACTGTTAATTATGCTAGTGATGGCATAATGATTTATTTGTTACCCTTATATTGTGGAGTTTATAAAGCTTGTTGGACTAAATTTCAATTGCATAGAAATTTTTTGATAGTAATAAGATGAGTACCCATGATCTAATGGCCTTTTATGGGGGAGAATTTGGGGGGTGAAGCAAAATTTCTATGTCAAGATACTGCTTGTTTTAGTATTGGGAAGAAGTATTAGTGGTAAGAAAAAGGAAACAAATGATTGTGTTGCTATCAAATTTATGAAGTAGCATCCCACCACTTAAAACAAGCAATGATGTTTGAGGTATTCAAGTAGCTATATTGATTTTTATCTTACTAGTGTAGCATTCCTTGAAGTCACATTTTGATTTGTTTTATGTAGAAGTAGGCTTGTTGGGTGACTTGGTATGTGCGAATCATAGCAACCTAGTTTTGCCTTAAAAGAGAGTCACATCTTGCAGTTACTGAATGTCACATGGCCATTTCATTTTTTCGTTGTTTTTTCTTAGAGAGCTTGGCCAAGTTCCCTCGGAGAGCAAGTTCTACACCTGGATTTCATGGTCAACCTCAACAACTGGAGGAACAACTACAACAGCAGGCACAGCAGCAAACAATGGGTCAGAACTCAAGAAATGATCAAAGCTCCGTCCAGGCCACTGCAATGCAAGCTGCTTCTAGCAATGGTGTGCCTAATGCAAATAACTCTCTCAACTCAGCATCAACCACTTCCTCCACTAGCACCATTGTTGGGCTTCTCCAACAGAGCTCAATGAACTCCAGACAGCCCAACCCTATGAACAATGCAAATAGTCCATATGGAGGAAGCGGGATTCAGATTCCTTCTCCTGGTTCATCAAGTACAATGCCACATGCTCAACCCAATCCTTCTCCATTCCAATCACCGACACCGTCATCATCCAACACTGCTCTGCAAAATTCTCATGGCGGCTTAACAGCTGCAGCTCATATGAGTTCTGCAAATTCTCCAAATATCTCCATGCAACAACAACCAGCTCTATCTAGTGATGCCGACCCAAGTGATTCCCAGAGTTCTGTTCAGAAAATCATACAAGAAATGATGATGTCTACGCAAATGAATGGTGGGGGCGGTATGGTGGGTGTTGGTTCCTTGGGGAATGATGTGAAAAATGTTAATGGAATGTTGCCAACAAGCAATAGCACAGGTCTTAATGGTGGCAACAGCCTGGTGGGAAATGGAACAGCCAATAGGCCGAGACCTCGGGAGTCTCTCCTCTATCTACGGCAGTACTTCGATACAGTACGACCATCAGAGGTATTGCAGAACTCTCAGTTCTTCATGTTTCTAATCTTTGATTTATCTTGCGCATTTACGATTTCTGATCAGCTTATGCATTGGTTACCCACAGATCGCATGGCAGCCTTGGGCACCTTTGGGTAGTGACCTCCGATTTCAGTTTGCTGGAGCCTGGGGTACCTCTCGGTACAAGATCCTGTTAGAGGGGCCGGTTGGCAAGGCCTGGTTTTTAGGGGAGCGCTTCCTGCGCCAAACATGGGGCTACCCTGTTCAGGACATTCCCTCAGCACCCCCAGATGACATGCGGACTGCTGATAGGCTCCCTCCCCAGGGTGTCGTCGACACCAGGTTGGGTACTGATGCATTCCTTCATCTGGAGCAGGGAGAGTATGCGACTTATTGTCACACATATTTGATGCCTTCGTTGACGGGAGTCCATACCCCAACGAGGAGACCCGCTGGTATGCCCCCATCGAGCTGGGCTCGGGCTGCGGACGTCCCTTCTACTAGCAGGGCTGGTACATCCAGAGGTGGGGGTGGATTGGTTCCCCCGATTCCTCCGACTCATCATCATCCTGGGTGGCCAGACATGCCAACCGAGCTGACGGGATGGCGATTTGGGACTCCCTACTCGATTCCGATAGAGCCTCCCATGTCTGACCACAGATATGTCAAAGATCCTGATTCGCCGCCGGTATGCTTTACAGCTTTGATTTATCACTCAAATACTTGGACATTCATTCATTTACTGATGACTTGTACTTGCATCTGCAGCCTCCCAGCGAGTATACTGAGGGGTTGCTCGGGTTGGTGGCCTCACTCGAGGGCATGGTCCTGCGGAGAGAGACGCAACTGTTCATCGCCGGTGTTTCGATACTTTTCAGTTTTTCTGCGTTTATCATACTTTTGTTGACATGTTGAATATAACCGTTTCACTGCATTGGTTGACTGTATGTGTAGAGCACATCTGACTCACACCACATTCACATACTATATCTGCATGCACCCAATCAACCACTACAGGCTGAGCCATAGGTAGGGCCATCTAGGCCTTCTCGGAGAGCTAGGAGAGGGGGTTCGACCCGCAGCCGGGGCGGACGCAGAGTGCCTGTCATAGAGGAGGAGTCCAGCGAGGAGGAGAAGTCTGCGCATCCCTAGTCAGAGACATCCGCTGACAGAGAGGGTGACTCTGGTTCTGGTTCTGATAGTGGAGATGATGCCGAGGAGGATTCCGA